TTAGGCAAATAGCAAGCACTAAAAGCACCAAGTAGTCAGTCAGGAAATTGCAGTAATCCCTATAGAAATATAGTGACCTATAAAAGCTGATTCATCTCACCTTAACATTAGGAGGGGGAGACTAATACACATAGAATGAATCATCCCTTGCAAACTTCTGAAACTTCTGTTATGAAGAACTTAGAAGTTTAGATTATACACAGCTCCTGTAAGGGGAAAAGAAAAGAGTGGTTTTTACAAAGCTGGTTCTGGCCCATCCCTCTCTCATGTAAAGTAAAAGTGTCTGTCTGTCTGTCTGTCTGTCTGCCTCACTGGGATCATCACCCTGAGCCCACAGTCAGCAGACTGACCTAAGAGTGTTTGCTAGTGCAAAGGGCAGTGATAACTATCCTACTCCTAATTCTTGGCCAGGAACTATGACCTGATCCTAAAACCCTTGGCCATCAGTAGACAGAAGCTTAATGTCATGATATTGCCCATTATTTGTAATCAGTCTGGGCAGTTATGTCATTAAAACAGAAATGAAAAGGGATCCCATGGCATCGACACAGCATATTGAAGGGAGTTGAGTTTTTAATCCTCACCCACACAAGCTTATCCATAGCAGACTAATCTCATTTTGTTGTCTTCTGACAAATTTTTTACATTCCAGTTTCTTTTATAATAATGCAGCTGGTACTGTACTCCTCTTATTTGAAGTTAATTTCATTTACTGTTTGCTCTGTTTAGCAATTTGCTCAAAAATTGCTCATATGGCTGACTGCTTCAGTTTGATATTTGGTTGCATCTGGTTACACTGTATGCACTTTAGGATAGTTCTTTATGAAATGTGGTAAGTGTATTGGAAAATAAGACTTTAAGTAAGAGGTTAAAAACTTGCTTTACAAATTGAAATCCAAATCATATAGACTTTATTCTGCATTTTACTCTGTCTTTTGACTAATCATATGTGGCCTTATTCAGTTTGTCATGCTTTATTGTGAGTAATAAGGTACCAATATGTATTCAAGAACCAGTTAATTCAATTTGCAACTGTTGAAAAATCAATTCTGCTGAGTAAAATTGCTGATCAATTTGATTGCAGGTTGCAGAGACAATGGCAGAGATATGTTCTGATGGTTACAGCAGCGATACACAAAGTCACTGTGTCACTCTTGTGCCTAAAGTGACATGAATGCAACAAAGTTATGCACACCTCAGACAGAATACCTCTCAAAGTGACAACTGTTAGACTCAGTGTGAATGTCCCATATTTAGGGCATCTGTGGATGGTGCCGCTGTGAGTCAAGACATTTATTTTAATGTGAAAGTTCCTTGTTTGTTTCTGATGTAGTTAAATATGTTAAATGACAGGAGCTCACCCAGATCAAAAAGGGGCAGTTTTCTTTGCAGTCATTTGTGGGAGTGAAAAATGAACCTTTTCCTGACCAAACCCTCAGATAATTCTAAAACAAGAAATTCAAGCTTCTGATCCTTTTTCAGAAAATGTCTCTATCATTGAAAAGTAAAAATAAAATGTCAGCTTTCATGAATTTTTACTATTGACCTTATGGAAAGGGACTGAGAAGTGACAGAAGCAGACAAGACAAAGAATGATATTCCCTTCTTAGCTGAAAGTCATTGCAGAATTAATGTGTACATCTTCCATCCTAGCACCTGTGGCTGAAGAATGTGGGAGGTGTACTGGCAAGAATTTGGGATATGTGCTGTAGTGCTTTAATGGAAATGCTATAGGGCATTTGCCAACCCATCTTGCCCTTAGAGAGGCTGCAAACATCCATAGTCTGTTCTAGTAGAGACAGACCTGCAGAGAGGGAGTCTGGCCTTGATAAGTTAGCTATGGGAATGTTGGCTTGATCAGCCATTCCTTCCAGGGACCCCATAGCAGAAGGTATATTGGCAATAATTTTTACAAGTTGACATCAGCTGCCAGAAATTTAAATCTGAATTAAAAGAAAAAGGCAGCTAGGAAGACAGAAAACATAGACCATCTTTTCAGGACTCTGAAGATGTACAAAGATTCATGGCTTGCAGGTGAATGAGCTTTGGAGGATGCCTTTATTTACAGGCAGATATTTATCTTACAAGGAGAAAAAAAAAAGAAGACATTAGAGTAAAAAGCTGGTAATAAATATGTGACTATTCCTAGTCCTTGTACCTATGCTAATGGTCAAGCAATGTTCTCATTGCTGTACAAAGGAAAAAACGAAATAAAAAGGCAGTTCTTTCTCCAGTGTGCTGATTTGGGTTGGGGTAGAGTTAATTTTCTTCACAGTGGCTAGTGTAGGGCTTGGTTACTGTCTGGGGTTAAACCACAATAGCCAGCTTTAAAACACAAGAAGCCAAAGAAAACAATGTGAGGGAAGCAGTGGACTTGTCTTACACTACCTGGTACCCTTGCAGTCACTGACTGGGAACAGGACAAAGTCCAAACTCCTCCTCTGAGATGGACAGCCATGGTCAACCTCTGCTCTCCTTTGCTCTTTTCCCCTTGCCCTGCACTGAGCATAGGTTTTGAACAGTAAAAGATGTGAGGACCTCCAGGCTGCAAAGGCAATAGAAGAGGGAAGCAAGCCAGACTTCAGTCCTCCTCTTTCCCAAGACTGCCAGGAAGTCCACACAGCCTCTTCAGCCTTTCTTCATCTGAGAGATGCTCCAGTCTATTAATCACCTTCATGACTTTTCACTGGCCTCTCCCCAGTGGAGACACAGTACTATAGATGTGGTCTAACAATTGCAGAGGAGGGGGCAAGGATTCCTTCCCTCAGCCTGCTGGCAACACTCCTCCTAACACAGTGCAGGCTGCCTCAGCCTTCTTTGCCAGAAGGACACGTTGTTGACTTGTAATACATTTGCTGTCAACCAAGACCCCCAGGTCCTCTCCAGAAAACTCATTTGCAGCCAGCTGCTCCCAGCCTGCGCCCCTGCCTGGAGTTGTTCCTGCCTGAGTGAAGGACTTGGCGCTGTGTCTAGTATAACCAGATTCTTCTCAGCCCATTTCTCCATCCTGTCCACATCCATCAGGATGGCAGTATGGGCCTTTGTTGTGCCAGCAAGGCCTCCCAGTTTTGTGCCACCAATAAACTCACTAAAGTCATGCTCTGCCCCACCATCCAGAAAGGGCAGGACAATATGAGTGCTGCCAAGGATGGGCAAAAAGGGGGACTTTCTCTAGGGAGAGCAGGGCAGCAGATGTGTTCAGCAGACCTCCAAAGACACCAGTGTCAGAGGTTTTGTTGGGTTTCATACAACAAAAGGTTTCCCCTTTCACTTGGTGTAACTGAGGGATGTTATTTGCACACTAAGCAACAACTGCAAAGAGTTATGTGAACAGCTCTGAACGTCATTTCTTGCAATAAATAACCTTGTTAATGGCACTTGTGAGCACTGGATTTGGCTACCAAAGGGCCTGGCTTCCTCCCCCAAAGAAGAAAGATCACAGAATCTTTGAGTCCACGAGGTCACAGCCTACTCACCTGGCTTGCATTACAAAGCTGACTGAATAAATGTGCCACTCTGCCCCTCAATACCAAGCAAGCATTGCATGAAGGCACCCCTTAATGTGACCCTTGGGGGTCTGGCATCAGCCTTCACATCCTTGTGGGAACAGCTACAGAGATTACGAGACCTTTTTGTCCCTCCATATCCTATTGAAGGGTGAACACAAACTGCCCTTTTCTACCTGGTGCTGCCTCTGCTGAGGATGTCAAAGGAACCAGAAGGAGGAGAAAGCCCATTCCATCCTTTTTGTGTTTGCAGCCTACAACATCAATCCAGAACTAAGTACTTTTTGAAAAGCATGCTGGATGACTGTTCTTGTCAGGAGGAGGTTTGCAATCAAGGACAAAATTGTTTTTGTATAGTAAATCAAAGTTCCAGAGTTCTTTATTTCTGTCCCATTCCTATTCAGTAGGTTTCACTTTGGTTTTCAGAGTGCCACCAGCTTAGTGCTATTTGTGTCCTCCTTTCTCTTCTTCCTATCTCCCTGTTTGGTTTGTTTCATGATGTCTATCTCTACATGTGGCAGCTCCCAGACAAAAACCTTCCCTAGATTTTTTTCTCAATTGAGGTGCTAAAACAGCCCTTGGTTAAGTTCTGAATGCTGGTTGTGAAATGTCTTTGTAAGATCCTGATCCACTTGGTTTTCAGCCCCATCAGAGCTTAATTTAAAAGGGCATGAACATCTTTCCTTGCTGGAAACTGGAATTCTAGACCATTACTGTGTGTGCCATGGATCCCAGAGGGGAATTACCGAGGCTGCCAGGGTGCTGGTTCTGCCATGCCTCCCAAGGGAACTGTTCAGTTGCAGGTGACAAGGTCCTGAAGCTGTGTGGGCTCCCAGAGCAGACAGCAAAAGCCTCTTGGCTGGACATTTTCCAGCACATTCCCTGCTGGAAGCAGAGGGAAGAAGAAAAGGGAAGTGAGGAACTGACAGAATGACAGAATGTTTGTGTCTGGAAGGGACCCTGCCCAGGGGTCACCATCCCATTTAGGGAGAGATGCCTCTGCCCAAAAGAAGGTGCAAATGAGACCATATGAGGACAACATAGGGATTTTGTTTAACATGGATTTTATTTAACAAGAAAGGGGAGGTAGAGGGATAGAAAGAAATGAAGAAGCAGTCTCAGAGAGAAAGAAAGATAAAAGAATCAATAGAAATTAGATGATTTTTAAGGCCTTTCCCTTAATCATGTGATTCTAGAATATGTGTGGATGTGTATTTTAATTTGACATTATTATTACTACTACTACTACAATTTAATCTTCTTCTTATTCTTTTTATTATTATTTATTACTGCAACTATTTTTTCTTCATCTTAGTCATTCTTATTTATCCTATTCTTTTTTCTTATTCTAATTCTTTTACCAGTTACTACTACTATAATTTCTTCTTTACTACTACTTCCTCTTCCTCATCTTCTTCTTCTAATTCTTATTCAACATATTATTTATTTCCTATTAATATTGTTCACTATTATTGTTCACTATTCTTCATCACCACCTTCTTCATCTTTACTACTACTATTTCTTCTAATTCTCTATCTTCTTATTCATATTCTTTTTTTAGTCCAACTTATTATTTTTATTCTTTTTCTTCTTACTATTACTTTTAATTACTTTGGCTATTATTCTTATTCTTATCCTTATTCTTACTTTCTTACTCCTATTCTTCTTGCTGTTCTTTTCTCTGCATGCACAGCAGCACCTGTGACTCCCTCAGGACTCCAGGCAGGCTCCATGCACTAATCCTCAGGCAGTGGTGCCAGGTAAGGCCAAGGGCAGCAGAAAGGGCTGCACATCACCCACAGTGCCCACCTGATATGGGACAGACGCTTCTTGCAGGGACCCTTGGCTGGCAGCTGTGGAGCTGAGGGGCTGGAGCAGCTGTGCAGGGCAGGGCCTGGGCTCTGGGGAGGCCAGGCACAGAATGGCACTTGGGGGCATGGCTCAAATGCCTGGTGCTCAACCCAGGCTTCCCAAGGGACAGGAACTGGGAGCCCATCCCCTGCAAAGCATCCCAGTCTTTGCTCCCTGTCTTCTTGTTCAGGCAGCTCAAGGACACTCAGTTTGTCCCAGTCATCCTCCTCCCACAGCAGGGCCTTGACCCCAATGCTCTGGACCCTCACACATTTCCAATTGTCCTGAGCCAGCTCCTTGTCACTATTGTCTTCCCAGATGGACTGGACAGACAGTCTGTCACCATTCCCTTTGGAGAACTCCTGGCCAACAGAGTTTTCCTCTTCAGAAAGCCCTTGGCCAATGGATTCTTCCCAGACAGATGGTTCTTTGTAGCCTTCAGTTTCTCTGAGGGAATACAGGTCTGCCTTGCTGTATTTTTCCCAGTCACAAAGTTGTTGCTCTTCCAGCCAGCAGGGTAAGGGCCTGGGTGGATGGGAGATGGGGTTGGCCATGTCTTCCTCTATCTCACACACCCTCTGTTGCAGAGGGATCCCAGGAACAGCTTTGTCCTGAGAGAGCTGCTCTCCTGGGACTGGGCAATCCTTGTGTACCCCTGTGGCAGGGCAGGGCTCTGGCATGTCACAGGGGCCTCTGGGCATCACAGCGTCACCAGGGGCCCTAACACAACACACCTGTGTCACCAAGGGCCACCCCCAGTACCCCTTCAAAAGCTGAACCCACTGGAAGTGGAATGGAGCAGCCCTCAGCTCCAATTGTAGCTCCTGTAGGGATTTGTGGCCCCTGTTGTGCCCAGGGCCCTGTGAGGCTTTGGGCACAGTCCCACAGGACAGACCCAGCCCCACCTGCAGAGCCCTGGCTACGGAGGGTGGGCTGATGGGGGCATGAGCCATTGGCCAGATGGACGCTGTGGATGTGACAGTCTGGTCAGAGAGAGAGAGAAAGCTAGATAAGTTTCCCCATTAATCAGTCTGGGAAACTTTATGGAACTGGAGAGAAATAATGATTATCAAATATTAAACAATCTGTTGGTGGTATTTTTTAACAAGTTGTTTTTCCTCATAAAAAGAGGGTGTCTTCTTAATTAGATGATCATGTGAAATGTGTTGATTAAATGACCAATCAGGTCCATCTGTAGTGAACCAAGGTATAAAAGAAGAGGATTGAATGAACAGGCTGGCCTTTTAGCCCTTAACCTTCTTCTCTGATTCTGTGTCATTTCTGACTGAATAGTGACAGGACACCACAGGCAGGCAGCTGTGGAGGTGGCTTCCTGTCCAGGGGCAGGCTGGGGACCAGGGGTGTCCCTCAGGCTCTCCCTCCATGCTGGGAGCAGAAGGGGCTGTGGGGGAGCAGCTGGGAGCACAGCACTGGGGCTGCACTGCCTGTTAGCAATGGCAACACAGCAGCTTCATCCTGCACATCGCTCGGGATAGTGTGGGGATCTGTTCTGCCTCTGCTGGGGACAGGAGGTCACCTGGGCACAGAGGAACACTGAGCACCAAGACATCCACAAGTGCCTCTTGTTCTCCCTTACCCAAAGTCCTTGCCACAGCCAGAGCTGGCAGTGCATGTGGAGGGAAGAAAGAAAATGCCCAGAGAATAAAGCAAAAGATGATGGTACTGAGTGGGAAAGCTGCATGGAGGTTGGAACTCACTATGGACTGAGCTATGGAGGCCAGGAAAGACAGATGGAAGATTTCAGTTCTCTTAAATGGTACAGAAAGCTACCCAAAGGAATAAAAGCAGTGTTGGCAAAATGTGAGACAAAGGAAGGAGAGACAAGAACAAATGTTTAGGTGCATAATTTGTGGTGCTGAAGCCCTGAAAGTGAACTGTCACTTGCTTGGGACCAATGGCCCTCTGAGTTAAACACCAAAATGCTTTTGTCTCACTGAGCTGCCTTGGTGTGTTCCATCCTACACATGCTTGTTTCTCTCCATTGCCCAGTGAAGAAGTGAGAAGCATGCACTGGTTTCAGGACTGGTATTTTGTTGACAGTATAGCCTTACAGAAAGCTCCACAAATAATTGCAGAGAAATTTACTTTCCCTGTGGGTAATAGGTCACTATGGTAACTTGTTTCTGACTTACTGCAGTAGCACTCTGTTGGAGGAAACTCAACAAGCTCACATTTCTTTGTAGTGAACAATATCAGAAGTATTTTTGAGACTGAGTGTGCCTAACATTAGCAAGTTTTTACTAATCCAAAGCCTATTAATTTTTGCATCTCCAGCTCTTCGGGTACAGGGAATTACAAAAAAACAGGAGGCATATTTTTTTTGTCTTATCTATCATACAGGTTTAGCAGGTGTTTTCCTTCATGACTGTGTACCAATGGGCTGCATTTGACTACATAGAGGGAATATGTGCTGCTGCACTTATTAATGTGGATTTCAGAAAAACAGATAAAATTTTAAGTAACCATTTGAACTATTTTTCCTTGGACAGTTAGTGAGATGAATGCATGGAAACGGGAAAACTGTAGAAGTGTAGGTAATTTTCTATCAAATATCAAACTAATAACACAGGTTTGGGACTCTCTTCCGCTGGATACTTCAAAAACCAGTTCTGTGGAGCTGTACACTTAAAACTCAATAACACAGGACATTCAGCAAGGTTTGATGGGTGGAAAAACAGTTGTTTCAAGGAGTTTATTAAATCTGTTTTTATTAGATATAAACAAGCCTGCATTCAATTGCTTAAGGCCTATTGTCTTTTTGCCTAACAAGATGTTCTTTAAAATTGGTATGAATATCACAAGGAACTCTATTTTGATAATGAAAAACAAAGCAGTAATTAGCTTTTTGTAAGGTTATAAGCACATCTAATTATGAAACTACTTGTGAATAGAAGACTCAGCCTTTCCATGTATTAAAAGTTAATTTCTGTGCTGTCAGTTTCCTCTGTAGAAAATTATTTTGGAAATGCAATAAAGGTTTTAATTTTGAAAATTTTTTTCCATTAGCCTTGCACACCCGGACTACATCTGCTAACTGCTTCTCTTTAGTATTCTTCTTTATGAGAACACTCAGTTGCAGGCATGATTTAATTTAGAACTAGTTTTTTTTTTTACAAAACCAGAGATAGACAGTGTAGATGAAAATGTTCCTTTGTCATTGACCATTTAAATTAGCTGTTAACCCTAGTGTGACGAAAGCAGGATAGTCAGCATAGGGTAGTAAAAACTAAAAAAAAAAAAAATAAAATCAGATTACTCTTTTATAAAATCAATAATCATTTTTCTACCATAGATATCCTTATGTAATTGGAAGGGAAGGTGCTGATACAGACTTGACTTTTAGTAAAAATCCTCAGTATATACCTATCCAGTACTACAGTAATGGTTAGTATTTGATAACAATATAACAATAATTAAAATAAAACTTCTTCCCTTCAAGCTCAGTTTATGAATCCACTTCAGTATTTTTTGAGTTTCAGAATTTGAGAAAGTAATATGACAGCAGATTTATGCTATAGGTTCAGAATCTGACAGTAGAGAATGAGAATAGCCAAATTGAGTCATATTCCCTGATTAAACTGGGTGATTTAAAAATTGCTTTAGAATAGCTCATCTCACCTCAGAGGAGAACTTTCACATATTCAAATATAATTCTGTCTCCATCAAAGGCAAAGGGATCTAGCTCGTTTAAGTGGGAGAAGCATTAGGGCCTGTCTGTGTCATCTTTAACTGTGAAATAAGAAGTTCTTGAGCTGAGCTGAATGTTGTTGAAGTTGCTTAGTGTAAGAGCTGCCTTTTACTCAGGGTAAATGTAAAAGGGGACATTCAAGTGCTCTGTGCAACCAGGTAGCAGAAATTATAGGAAAGCTGTCACAATCATTGGCTTGTATGTTGCAAAGGCTGAGAACAAGATGAATCATTTGGTAGCAGAGAAGGGCAAGACAAATGCAGACATGTAAGAACTGATTGCTGAAACTGTGATTGCCTACCATCTGTGACAGAAAGAGAAAAGGGTGCCTGACTATGAGGAAAATGGTAGCAAAAAAGCACTGGATGCATTAACAGCATCATTAGCAGTCTGGTCTGAGAAAGAGATAAAGGATAATTTTTGTGAGAGACTGGGAGCAGAAAGGTTGTCCTCTGATTGCTGCTGTGGCCACAGAAAATGGGTCCCAATATAATTTTTTTTTTTTTTTTTACAATAAATACCTTTGATCACATCAGGAATGCATAAATCCCTTACTTCCTTGCAGTCAGAACTCCCCACTGAGCCTTGGCCTATTATCTGAGGTCAGAAAGGACACAGAAAAGTTGACAAGGTGTTTTTTTTGTGAAATTGTACTGTTGTGGGAACCAAGGTAAAAGCTCTGATACCCAATGTTTTTAAGATAATTAATTTCCATTTATCAGCCTATGCTTTACCTTATTATCTTTCTATGCAGTGCATTAGTGAGTTTTCCTGGAGGACTTGTTTTAGTGTGTTTGCATAGAAATCAATGAGCTTGTTGCCTCTCTCTCTGGAACAGCCACAGCGTGGTCTGCTTTGGTTTGTTACAGAGTAAAATCCCATGGGTTCATGTCTGACAGAAAAAACCCAATAATTTTCTGAGAGGTACCTACAGCTTTTCCCTGGAAAAAAGTGAGAGTCCTGGCTTCCTCCACTGCCATTCTCAGCTGCTCCTATTTGACATGCTATGCACTGGAAGGTATCTCATTTGGCAATGTAATCTAACTGGAGATTCATAAATCCATAGCTCTATTTTTAAACTGTATTTAAGTTGGTAGTAGAATGGTATCATTTAATTTCAAAAATGGATTTATTTCTGAAGTAGCCTAGACATTCTTGCAAAGGCAAAGTGCTTTATTAGGATAAGAGAACTATAAATAAACAAGATAATGAAATATTCTGACTTCACAGTGTATCAGATTAATTGTGTTAACTTAAGGAACACAAGCACAAGCCAAAATAAAAGGAGTCCAAAAGAAAAGCAATCAATTTCAAAGTACATCTGAAAGTCTACTTAAAGTCTGCTTTGGCAAAAGAAGTAAAGACATTTTCCAAGCTCAATTGAGAGGAATGTCAAAAAGGTGAGTGAGTGATCTGAGAATGAATAAAGGAACACAGATGAACAATGTAAGGCTAATGCATTAATTCACATCCTGTTTCTCTGGTTAGATTCATCCTCCACAGTGGCAGCCATAAATTCAGGTTTGTGACTGACTGAAAAGGGCACTGCTTTTAAATCTAAGGTGCTCATCAAGAGTATTGAATGCATAAAGTTTTTTCACATATAAAGACCAAGTTGGCAGGTTTTGAGTTATAGAAAAAATGTCTTCTCCTTAAGCAATTTAAAGATTGATGCTGTAGGCCTTTCATTATATGGATCACTGAAAGAAACAACCATTCCTATATTTCACTGTCAAGTTAATTGCAGTAGTGGTCGGCTGTGTTACTGCTAAATCTCAAACTTGGTGCATCTCAGTGTTTCTAGGAGAAGCATCATCCAGACAGAGCCTAACTTTCCCCTGGGAGTCCAGCTGATGAGTTTTCACTCAGCTCCTCTCTGCCTCAGGTGATGAGTATAAAAGAAATGCTACCCCCAGTTCCTTACCGGTATAAATACATACAGCAAGTTCAAGGGTGTTTTTTTATGATACTGACTTTTCTACCTAAAAATAT